TTATTATTATTATTATTATTATTGATTTTTAAGACTGTCAATCTCCCATTTTAATGAGGCATAAAAAATACTCCTCAACCAATAAATGAGAAATCAATACTCAAAGAGATGTGATTAATTTGTATGGATTTGAATTTTATATATTATATTAAAGGGCATTAACAGGGCAGATGAATACTATTTATTTATTTATTATTATTTTAAATTTTCATCAATTCAAAATTATCTCAAAATAATATCACAATAAAATACATAATGAAAGTGAATTAATATAATAATTAATCCATAAATTATTTGTATAAATATAAAGTAAATTACGCAAAGAATGTGAATAAATTAATATAAATGAGTGTTCAATTTATAATAAATATTATATTTAAATATATTAATAGAGAATTCACACTTATAATCAATTAATTCAATCAAGCAAAATATAATAATCATACAAATGAAACAAAATTGTAACTTAAATCATTAATTAGCAAGCGAGTATTAAATTATATTTTGTCATCATGAATTGATTAATTACACAATATTTGACTAATGCAATTAATATATTACAAAACTAAACTATACAACTTAACACACAAATACCAATATTATGGATCCACAAAAGTCACAACACAAGAGCACAACAATAACTACAATATTCATAATTTTATATAATTGATATGACTTTTAAAAATTCATCATCCAGAAGAGCCTAATATTTTTTTTTGGGAATTAGAAGAGCCTAATTAATCCATAAATTTTTATTATTTACGCTAAATATTGCTCAATTCTAGTGTTAGCAAGACACTAAAATATTGATCATTTTGATGGAGTATTTAAAATTTTGATAAAAATAATCAAAATATTTAATAAGAATTCTATAAATAAGTTTTCATCCATAAAAGCCTAATATTTTTTTTTGGGAATTAGAAGAGCCTAATTAATCCATAAATTTTTATTATTTACGCTAAATATTGCTCAATTCTAGTGTTAGCAAGACACTAAAATATTGATCATTTTGATGGAGTATTTAAAATTTTGATAAAAATAATCAAAATATTTAATAAGAATTCTATAAATAAGTTTTCATTTCATACTTGAAAATGGGAGTTGGCAGGGGCAGAACTAACCTCTATTTTCATGGTGGGAAAAATAGGATTGTGAAATGCATAATTTTATGTATGAATTAGAAAAATCGAATTTACGTCGATCAACACTAACGACCATTAGCATCGATGGGCAAAATAGAATTCTGATATGTTTATAATCGAAACGAGCAGCTCGACAAGACTAATCGAACAAGTCAGACCCCATGCAGTTTTTCCCTTCTTGTTTTTTCATGTCAAAAATTTCTAATCTCTTACAAATTTTCCCCGTGGTCAAAAATTAAGTGGTACTCTTTCTATTCTACGAATATACATTTTCAATAACACACACGTGTGTGTGTATATATATATATTAGATTTTATATGATGGTATAAATGGTAAAAATGAAATCTATAAATGATATATTTGATATTAAAGTTATTTATGAGTGGCAAACATGAAATATTAAAATTTTAGGTGTGAGATATGTAAATAACATGATATAAAGTGGTATTTATATAAATCCATCATATTAATTTTATTACTTGCTATTTATTTAATTAAGAAAACACTATATATATCAATGAGGTCTTCCTCTGGTTCTTCCTTTTTTTTTTTTCTTCTACATGAAAAGTAATGAACATCGATCGATCTTAGCTTAGCTCGCCAACAAGTTCTGCGCAGTAATCTCATACTGAAATCCTCCGCTCTTGGAGCTGTCTGCGTCCCACACAAAGATCCCAGCAAGCTTCTCTTCCTCCTTCAACTTCCGACACACATCGAAGAAGCCATTCGCCGGCGTAAGGCCACGGGTGGCGTCTCCGGTCAAACTCATCAACACCTTCCCGCCGGCGTAGTTGGAACTTTGCTCCTCGAAGTAATTCAGCAACTGATCCACCGTCGTGTCTGAACTGTAGGCGTAGAACTGGAAGTTAACGTAGTCGATAACATCGCCATAGTTAGCCCACAGAGCCTGATAATGTTGCTGCACGTCGCTTCTGCCGTAGGGTGCTATGGAGGCGAAGGAGATCACGTTGTTCTTCTTTAGAATTTTGATTAAGGCCCCGATGCAAACAGCAAAGGTGGCCGGGTCAGCCTACAACATCATAAATTTAGTTAGGAGTAGCAGATCCTGATGTAATGTAAGATGCATGCATCATGCATGATGTGATTCAAAGTTTCTCAAATTTTTGCAGAAATTAATGATGTATTTGATATCATTAATTGTGGTAACACAACATAAAGAAGTGTCTAAAAATGATCCGATATGTCAACCTGATTTGAACCCGACCAAAAAAATTGGGGTTTTGGTCGATAATTTTTACCCGTTTATTAAATAGATCGATTGGGTTCAAGTTGACCCGCAAATTTGATTTGACCGGAAATGAGCGTGTAAATTATATTTTTCTTAATTTCTTTTATATTTGTTGGTATGATTATTTCATTTTTTTTTGTAATTAATCTAAAATATATTGTTAAAATGATCATTATTATTTTTTAAAATAAAAACGGGTTATCAAGTTTAGTTCAGGTCATTCGGGTTGCTAGTGGGTCGAGTCCGCATGTTTTTACCCATTTATTAAATGGGTTGAGTTTGAGTTGATCGAATTCAAATCGGGCCAATTTCGTGTCGGACCTGAGCCCAATCTATTGACATGTTTTGAGACTTATTTTTTTTGCATTGTGTCATAGGAAGTGTCAAATTCTCTTCTAAATCTAATAATTAGAAATGATCATTTATAATACTTTCTAATCAAGTCTTTTTAGGCCTACATCTATCTTTCTTAACATATGTCAAATCTAGTACATCTACTCTTCTAATCGGGTCATCAGAAGGCTGGTGCTTTATGCGACCAAACCATTTAAAACTACTCTCTAATCTTATTTGTCAGAAGAGCTATCCTAACATTTTCACGTATATGCTTGCTTCACAATATTTCCCTAAGTGTACAACCACTCATCTACTTGAGTATCCTCACGTATGAATCATTTAACTTAAATTTTGTACTAATCTTAGCATAAATTCAAGTGGCGGTCTGATTGTAAGATAGTAGTTCGAAAGTGCTATTCAAGTGGAGCTTCACGATTCTTACAAACTCTAGGTTCTCTTGAATCCCAAGCTCAAATCTAATCGTCATGTCCCCTCATATAAAAAATGAGCTAGAGAGTATTAATAGATTTTTGAGAGTAAGCATGTTCCATAAATATTATGAGTCAATCTTTATGATCTTTGTTAAGTAATACAAATCTTAGCATAAATCAAAAACTTTGAAAATTATGATGATACTTTTACATTAATATACTTAATTATATTCCTTCATGCATCTTTTGTGTTCTATACAAATTTTTATCAATACTTTAAAATAATAAAAAAAAGGGGAAATGATGAATATTAGGAATTTTGGTGGTATAATTGTAATATTAATATTTGAGGTGTTAGATATGTAAAATAATAGTAATATACTGATTTGTATGTAAATTTTCCCAAAAAAAATGATATTTTAGATTTAAATTACAAATACATGATATAACACAATGTTAATTAAACTATAAACTTTAATTAATTAAGATTAATGTTATAATTAATAATTATTAAATTTAATTAGAGAGTCATTAAAGCATGCATGCCTGAAAGTGCTCATAGTCGATGTCAATTCCATCAAGATGGTTTTCCTGAATGATTCTCGTCAGTGAAGAAGCAGCGTTGAGCACCCATGAGAAAACTGTGGTCGGCTTGAACAAGACCGGATTGCCGGAGACCGTATCGCCACCAAGGCTGAGGGCCACTTTGACGTTAGGGTTGGCTTGCTTTATGGCGTTGATATGATCGGCGGAGAGATCGTCGGTGTCCCAGTAGACGATAAAGTTACCGTCTGTGGAGGAAGGTGGAGATATGGTGGTGGAGAAGTCAGCGGCGAAGGAGAGGATGAAGTGGAAGTCAACGCCGGAGTTTATGGGGACGTCGGAGAACTTGACGTCGGTGAACTCCGATCCGATGTACTCGGCAAAGTACTTGGAGTTATCGGCTCCGGCGAGAGGAGAGAGGAAGACGAGGAGGGAGATGAGGAGGATCATTGGGAGATGGGACTTCATGCCTACTTGTGTAGTGTTAAAGCTACAAGCATTGAATATATAAATATATAGGGAAAATTTTATAATAATTTAATATAAATAAATGATATTTATGACTAATTATTTTTAAATTTATATTGCATTGATCTTATAAGTAAATATAATGAGCTTTAGCTTAACATTTTATGTGAGATAGTTTAAGCTTTTTTATTTTGTTCCTAAGATTTTGTTTGGAATAATTTTTTTTTCTGTTTTCTAAAATAAAATTTTAGTACAAAATTTCTAATTCAAATTTTTTTTTAACAAAAAGCATTTTTAGAAATCAGTAAAAAAATGTCCCAAATGAAACTTAAATTTTAAAAATATTTGTTCGAAAACAATTTTCAAAGCAAAATTTTACAATAACAATGAAAAGCTGCCTTTCCGCATATATTATGAATTTTACTAACTACATTTTTATCATAAAAGCAGTTGAAAGCTACTCCAAACAAAACCTATAAGTTGTTTGAGATTGTTTTCTCATTATTTTGAGTTTTAAAATGTTGTCACATATTCATTTGGCTATTCCTTAATGGTTATTCATTAAATTTTTTTCTGCTTAAAACTGCTTTTCAGACATTTGCTAGTGTGACTTCTCTAAGAAACTTTAATTAATATTTATAATAATTTTTAAAAATTATTTTTATGAAAATAATCTTATAATCATCTTCACAAAAACTTTACGATCATCCCAAATGGACTATAAAATTAATCCTTCTTAGGATACTTTTGGCACGACTTATATTATTTTATGTAAATAAAGTTGTAGAATTATTATGAGAAAATAATATATATTTTTTTAAATTATTATGAGTATTACTATTATTATTTAAATATTATTTAATAATTTTTTATAATTATTGTGCTCTAAAGAATATTTAATTAGAAGAAGAAAGTTCCAACTCTCATCATAAAAAATTTCGAAATACAGCAAGAAAACAGCAGTGGTCAGAGCCGTAAGGTAGCAAAATTTGGCAATGTGCTCATCGGACAAAAATTTGTATTTAAAGTATATAACAAAAAATAATTACGTATTATTAAAATATTAATATAATCATAATATTTATTTGACTATTAGAATTTTTTTACTAAAATGTTATTTCTATAGACTATAGAAATTTTTAAAAATTTACTTTTTACACAATAACTTTATAAACATATTTATAAAAAATTATAGCCATCCCAAACCAACTATAGAAATTTTTTGAAAGTAGCAAGAAAATAGTAATCAAATAAAAATGTGATTAAGATTTGAAAAATAAATTAAAAATGTGATTAAGATTTGAAAAATAAATTAAGTAGTATGAAAGTTTTTTTGGCAAAAAGATTAGATTTATTTATCTTTAGCCAAATATATATTTTTTCATTATTTATTTTATGTTTTAAATTAATATAAATTTGTTTATGCAATGATTAATCAAGTGACAGATTCGATCAATTTGTCATCATAACATTTAATTTTTTTTAAAAAAAATTCATTTCTTCATTGGCATAAATTATTATATTTTATCCTAATAATCAGTCAATTATAAAAAATAGTATTTTGGAAATATTCTTCGATAGTGGACGCATAGCGAGTTAAGAATTGTGGATATATTATTCTATTTTGTATCGATTTCTTATTTTTTATTATCATTTTTGAAAATTTCTTTGTTGGTAAATTCAGTTGCAGAGAATAGCTCTTTTCATGTGTTATTGTTCATAGTAAAATACTTTATCTCCCACACCATAAAATAGTAAATAAGAATGATTGACTTCGAAAGACTTAGGTTTCGTTAGGGATAATTTTTTTACTGTTTTTTAAAACAATTTTTTAGTGCCAAAATTTTAAGTTCTAAAAATTTTTTGTACTTAAAAGCTGATTTAGAAAGCAGTAAGAAAGTTGTCTCAAACAAAGCATTAGCATATTGGATGATTCCTACAAGCTTGAATAAGTTCATTGTTCATATATGAGGCTTTCACAATTAGGGGTGTAAATGACTTCTGTCAAGTATCTGTCTAATCAAGTTAAGCTTGTTTAGCTCTACTAAGCTCGAGTTCTGCTTATTAAAGAAATTATAGGCTCAATCACATTTGGAAAACTCAATCTCGACTCGATTGTTTAAGCTCGATTTTTTTGTTTTAAATTAAGAAGTGTACGTTTTCTTAGAAATTTTCATTTCTAATATAGAATTAGGTTTAGTTTGGGATGTCTGTCTTACTGCTTCTTAAAACAGTATTCTTACGTCTTATTAAAAATAGATTTCTGGTACAAAAACTAAAATTTATATTCTAAAAAGCTGTTTTAAGCAACACTATAAAAGCTATCCCAAATAAAAACTTTGATTAAAAAATTTTAGAAAGGCTTATAATTCTGCCATGAATGTGATGATTATACCATTCAATGTCTTGAAAAGAGAATCATAACATCACAATGTGATTGTAGCATAGAACATAGATCTATGGCATGGACTTAACATAAAATTATGGTACAACATTCTCTCTATTTTAATACAAATGATTGAGATGAGGCATACAACTTAAGAAAAATAATTGTTTGAAGGGAATATTATATTTTTAGGTCACATCAGAGACATATGTAGTAAAAAAATACATAATATTTTTTATTTTAATGGATACAATAACTTATCAAAATAAAATTTTATTGTTGATAGAATTTATTATCAATATTTATTATCTAAATTTATTAAGGAATATTATTGATAAATTATTTCTTTTTTTTAAAATACATTTTAATGTTATGCAACCTATGTTGTCAGATTCTAACTTATTTTATGTCATACATATACATAGTTATTATGTTACATCATATATGTAGAAGTAGCATTATATAAATGAGTTTATTTTATATTTTTTTAATATAAATGATTCTTCTATAATTGCCTATTTGAATATCATTTCTGATGTCACCAAAAATCTGCTTTGTCAGATGAGAATCTTGACGCATATTTGAATAGGAAGCTTACAAAATTAAACACTAGACTATTTGAACTCTGATTTTAACAAATTTATAGCATAAAGGAGCATCTCGATGAGACAAACCCAACTGAAAAAGTCCAATTTGAGCCGGAATGAACCAGGGCCACAAAGCACAATTAAAAACTTTACATTTATTGGATAACCAAATGGTATCCAAATATGGAAGGCTTATAATCGAATCAGGTGGCTAGATGAGACAAATCCAACGAGACCATGATCCCTTGATTCTAACATCATTTAGACACATAAATGCTGAATAAATAATCTATAATCGAGATAATCAATACAGAATGTTCAATGGAGTACTCCAAATATTCTCCATATTTATGAAACTATGATGTCCTAGAATCTAATTTGGAATAATTATTCTTTTATCTTTTTAAAAAATAACAATCACTGCTACCTAATTTCTTTTATCAATATAAATACCATTAAAAATAAACTATCGATCGAAACATCAATATATACATCTTTATTTATTTCCCAAAAATCATGTTTTACAAATATAAAAGTATCCTCATTATTTGATAAGAAATAAATTTGATTAGAAAAATCTCAAATATAGAAAATCCTTGACATCAAAAATAGGTTAATGATTAATTCCTTACAGCGAGATGAGCAAATTTCTCAATTAGGTCAACTAATGAAAATCACTCTATGGCATGCAAATCATAAATTTTAATTTCTCTCCCCAAACTTTTTCTCTCAAAACTCCTAATTCCTTCTCTGTTAGCAGAAATGAATAAGGGAAAAAAGATTAAAAGCTTTTTTTTTAATGAAATGGCTTATAATAGATTTAAATTTTATAATATAATAATAAAATTATAGAAAAATTTTATACAATTTAATTAATTTTCAGTATAAAATTCATATAATTTTTTTAGCTTAAAAAATAAAAAAAAAATATAATTAAAATAGCTCATTTTATTTAAAAAAATTCTAATGAAATCAGTTTGCAAAACGGAATATCGACACTTAATGGTCCCGAAATCCCCACTTGTACCGTTAGGTGTTAATTTCTCAATGATTAGCACCAGCGCCAAAAAACTACATAAGTATTTTATATAATTAAACCATTACAATATTTATGTTATGTTGAAGAAGGTTTGTAATTTGAACTTATATTAACTCCTTAAAAAAATATTTATCTGAATCAAAATACGGACTATTACAGAAACTACCATTGAAGCCTTACAGGTGCAGTTATTATGTTTCTTATAAAGCTTCAGGCAAGACATCCCTGTTCTGGTACTCGATGTACATCATTGCCTCAGCTTCTTATTCAGCATACATATGACAGTATGTTTCTTTCAGTTATTTCGTTGAGTCTACTGTTATGAATTCATCGCTTGTCTCTTGTAAAAGTAGCTAACTCCTTCATTTATAAAGCTTGGCCTTGAGAATACTAAATTCATATTGTTTTAGATTCTTAGTTTTGATTCTTTTATTTAAAAGATACAGACGATTTTGATCAGCTCATATTGAGTAGTTTTTAAATGTTATAAATTTAGAATACAAATGCATTTTATCTTCTAATATATCAATTGTTTGTGTGCATATCTAAGTAAAATCATTCATATTTCTTACCCAGAGAAATGCACTCCTCAGTATTGGGGGCTGGAGACTGAGCTCTTCAAAGTAGACAGAAGGGAGACCCCATGGTTGGAGAAATTATTCTGTGCGGACACCGGACTATCCGGAGGTGAATCAGAGCGCGCCACATCACCTAGTACACAACGGATACATAGCCACGGTACATAGCAAATAGATGACGTGACGCTCTTTAATTCGCCTCCGGACGGCATCAGTATCTGCATAGGATAATTTCACCCATGGTTGATTGTTCCCATGCATTCAATATTGAACATCTCATACAATATAGTGAATGTGGGCACCCATTCTCAAACAATCCGTCTCGTTGTATGTTACAATTGGAGATGATAGACAAAATCTTGAAGATTAGCCACCGAGTATGTTTTACTACATCATTTTTAGCTCTTGATGGTTATTCCTTTGTGTATATCAACATGTTATAAAATGTTGTATGTTGTATATATGCTATGTCATTTAGTAATGCAGCATGGCAGACCTTCAACCTAAGTATTTAGCATAGAGATAATCTAGTTTTGGTAATGCTATATTTGACATTAAGAACATGACACATGCTTATTATGCCTAACATAGAAACTATGACGAGGAAGCTGTTGAAGTTGACTCAATGTGGCTCTACAACTGATACTGAAAAACCATCAATATCTACATAATTATGGATAGCTTTTTATATTTTCGATATATTTTTAGTAATAATCATTCTGGTAGTCGGCACGTCTCATGTACATTGCTTATGTGAATGAAAGGAATGTTGAGTGAGCTAAATTTTAACATTTCTCTCAAATGTGTGTAAATGTTCTCATTCATGAGAGTAATTTACTTATTACCACAAATGCCTCATGGTTTTGTCATATAGAAAGATCACAATGATTTCTATTAAAAATATTGAAATTATTCATTATCATATAAATATTATAATATATGTTTAATATTTTAAAGCAGACAATTATAGTCATTATTATCAATATTAAGAATGTTTTCATTTATGATATTTTTCTTTAGTACTCTCTTCTATTGCTTATATATATTTATATCACTATGTAATTCAACTCAATAAATGTCTTCCCACCTTTCTATCCATTTCTAAAAGTTTTGGTTTCCAAAAATTTTCCAACTATTATACATATTTGATTCAATATTAGCATAACGAGGAGTCGATGATATTTATATTAAAACATAGTAACATATTTCTTTAATTTTCATGACACATTACTATCTTAGATGCCAAACCAATTTAGTAAAAAATTAATGTAAGTAAAAATAAAAAATGATTGCCATTTTCAGAATATTATTTAATTTTATAATAAATTTCTTCAATTCTTTTGAAATATTTAAATACTAAAATAACTCTATTTTATTATTTTAAATATAATGAAAAAACAGCTTAACAAAAACAGCTTATCAATTTTAAAGATAATCTTAATCCCTAATAAAAATGAAATTAAAATATTAACCACCCCATATTTTCTTAAAAATTTACCCAAAATTTTTCTAAAAATTTAAGACCACAAAACCGTTACATCTACTAATGATCCACTGGCTTTGTTTCGTTAGTGAGAGCTTTCTTACTATTTGGTCATTACTTTTTCACTACTTTGTTTAAAGCATTACTTTAGACTACGCATTTTACATACAATAACTTTACAACTATCTTCATAATCAATTACAGCTATTCCAAACAGATCCTTATAAGCTGTTTAACAATGTTGGTAACAAGATTAAAATTTCGTTTGGGACGGTTTTCTTCTTTCTTTCTAAAACAACTTTTCAGTAAGAAAATTTCTTGAATTTAAAATTTTTGTACTAAAAAACTATTTTAAAAAACAGCACGAAAGCTGTCTAAAACGAATCATAAATCTCACGATAAAAAAAGTATAGGAATATTTCATTGAAAAGTTAGGAACAAAAGGCAAAAATGAAGTTCTTTCAACCAAAAAGGATCCAATATTTACAAGGCCTCCGGTACACTTCTTCTATAATTCCCGGTTAAGGGAGATATCAATATTCACTCAGTATTACATAAACACATTAATTTTTGTCAATGAAAATAAACAAAAATATTAGTTTTCTTTTTCTAGGCTATTCGATCAAGTAGCAGCGCCCTTCTTCTATATCTCAATTTACAGAGATTTCTCAAATTCTTTTAGGCTTCTAAGGGCTCAGGGCGAAGGCGACTGTCTGATTCATGGGAGTGAAGGGAGAAGATATCAGCAGGAGTGTTGATGGATTTGTAGTTCATAGCTTTAAAATTCGGACTATTAGAGTTCCTAAGGTTATTATGATCAAGATATACCACTATAACAGTGATATCATCATGAAAATGGCGCCTCACTCCCTTCTGTATTCTTTTCATGTCATTTACTCTCATTTCCATCTTCTTTGCGGCTTCTTCAAGTGCCGCTCTTAATAGCCTCTTTGCTATTCCCTGCATGTATATTGTTTCAATGACCTTGAAATTCTATTTTAAGTCCTCAAAAGGTGTTTGGGACTGCTTTTTTTATTGTTTCTTAAAGCACTTTTTTAGTTAAATTTTTTTAATATTTATACCAAAAAGCCAAGCCATAAGAAAGCCGTCCCAAACAAAACCTTAATATGAAAATATTCATGTTATTTTGATTTTAAATAAGTGCTTTCTGAAATTGAAGTTCATAGAAAAAAGAACATTATCTGAATATCTTCATATATTTTGCATCACAAATAGGAACTTTTATTTGGTCTGGACACCTGACGTAGCTCTACGTTCGGACGCCAGTGAAATAGTGCAACGTTTTCTTACTTTTTACCGCGCGACCCGACAACCCGACCCGAAACGGACTCGGTATTGCTTGATATTGCTCGGTATTGCTAGGTATTGGTCGATTTTGCTCGGCAATAACGAGAAATACCATTCTGTGAAGACCAATACATAACAATACCGAGCAATACCGAGTTTTTCTAGGTATTGCTCGGTATTAGCATTGACAGAGCGGTATTTCTCGTTATTGCCAAGCAATACCGAGCAATACTCGAACATAGCAATCCAGGGTTCCGGTCCAAATCGGGTCATTGGACCGCGCGGTAAAGAGTAAGAACACGTGGCGACATATTATTGGCATCGGAACGTAGAGCTACGTCAGATCACCTGACCTAATAATTGTTCCACGAACAGATTAATTTCGATTATGCATATGCGCGCTCATCAACAATTAATAGTTTAATAATATTTGCCACTCAAATTTAGTTGAATTTTAGAGATAATGTGCTAAGTGAAAATTAGCTCCATCACGATGCAAAATGTATAAAGATTTAGGTTTCGTTTGGGACAAATTTCATACTGCTTTCTAAAATGGCTTTCTAGTGCAAACATTTCAAATTCAAAGAATTTTTATACTAGAAAGCTGTTTTAGAAAACAAGAAGAAAGCCATCCAGTTTTTAACTGTTTTATAAAGCTATTTTTTAGCACAAAAATATCTTAAAAACAGAAAAAAAGCAGTGATCTAAAGGTGAGGGGTTGAGAACTTACTGATCTTGGATACTTGGAGACGATCTGAACAGCAGCTTCATCGGTTAGTTGTTCCCAGAAACCATCAGAAGCAAATATGAAGAATAAGTCATCTGGTTTCAGCTTGCGCGTGAGAATGGACGGTTCGGCGGAGATAACAGACCGCTTCAAAGGAGAGGTCGGAAAGATATACGGCGGGAACAGAGGGTCTCTACTGAACTCTGGTTTTTTCAAATATGCATCGCCAATCGACCGCGATACCTAACAAAATTGTTATTAAGATTGTATTAGTAATCTGGTTAAGTGCAAAATAAGAAAATCCAGATGAAATACTATCAGTTCAATTAAAGCAAAAATAACAAATTTATCTAGCGAAGTAGAAGTGGTAAATTCCACTTGCAATGACAATTAAAAATGTTTATGGAGTGAAATTAAGAAAAATTGGAGCAACCAAGCACACCCATGTCATGACTTGCTGAGAATAATGATGGACTAATGAGGGAAGGATGTGGTTGAGGATCTGTTTGAGTTGTCTTAGCTGGCTGTAAAAGGTACCCAACATCACAAAATTTTTTGAAAAAGCAAGAAGAAAAAAGATTAGGGGTGTTAATTTTGGGTCATGGGTCGGGTTCGGGTCGAATCCGAAATTGATCCGGCATTGTTCAGGTCAACCCAAACCGACCTTTTTTTTTCAAACGGTTCGGTTTTTGAGACAAGAACCCGACCCACTTTGGATTCGGGTCAACATGACCCGACATGGATTTCCAATTTGGTAGGAAGGAATGTCGTCGTCGAGCTCCCGTCGCTACTTCCAATTCTGGCTATTCGCGAATGGATCCAACGGACCGCGGGAGAGGATGGCTGGCATCGAGCGTGAAACTGAGTCGAGTGGTCAAAGGATTCAACCTTCCGTCGGTACGAGCGTCGAGCGGGAAACCGAGTCAACCGACCAATTTTTGCGACGCGACAACTGAGGACAACGAGGATGGCATGGACGGCTGACGCAGAATCGCGGATCGCGCGGACGTCGAATGGCTGGTGGACGCGACAGATGACGGCTTGCCAGATGTGGCATCTATTCATGCGACTGGACGCGGACGGACAAAGAACGGAAACTGTTGGTCCGGGTCAAAATCAGTTGATGTTGGGTTTCCGGGTCCATCAAAATCCGACCTGTTTTTGCAAACGGGTCGAAATCTCCAACCCGAACCCGACCTAGTTCGGGTTAACCCGAACCTGAAATTTTCGTGTCGGGTTTGAGTTGGATTTTCGGGTCGTGTTCAATATTGACACCCCTAAAAAATATCTCCCAAATAATACTAATAGTGATCTAAAAAGTCATTGAGATGAAGAACTGGCCCGAAAGAATCTTTACTCAGAAAAAGAAAAAGTTTTCTAACAAGGGAAAAAAGCAAACTTGGGTCGTTGTTCTGAGAAATTAGGAGAGGGTGCGTTGTGAGAAAGTTTATCAGGACCATTTATGGGCAGAAAGGAGTCCATTATGATTGATGAAACTGACTGCAATAATATTAGAACAAATGAATCAGGATGGAAATTTCCCAAAAAATATAAAAAAATTTCCCAAAAAAAAAAAATCAGGATGGAAAAAAAAAGGTTTGAAAATGATGTAGGAGAGCGCAGAATATCACATGGAGGTTTTTATTTTCCAATGATGGAATTATATGCTGCAATAATTTTGTGAAGACAAACATTTATAAGGAAGAACCATATCCCGCAGAAAGAATATTTCTTTACGCTTGGTTAAACTAAGATTCTTGATAGCCCTATAATTTGCCTGTTAAAAGCAGTTTTTTATTCTAGACAGAATAAACTTAACAGTTAAAATAAGCAGGAAAAAGAAGGGAAAAAGAAAGAGGTGAAGGTAATTAAAAAAAAAAAACAGAAATTCTTTGCAGAAATATAGACTGTAAACTACTAAATAGGCAAACATCCAGAGGAAACAAAGAGTTAACAAAAATGTCATGAGCTTCGAGAGGGGTTCACAAAATCTTCGACTATAAACTTATCAAAATAACTCAAAGCATATTCTCCGCACTCAAAACAATCTAAAAGAACTTGCTCTACTCCATAATAAACCACTCGTATAAATTCGCAAGTACTTAATAAAACAAGAAAACTAGGACATTCGTTGTCGCCTTCTGAATAAATGAGTTATGTAGTTGTGCGATATTTTCTTCTGAGATGGACAAATTTTGCATTGTGTAAATGAGTAGATCTTCTTTAATTATAACTGATTACATGATTTTGTTAATCCCATGTGAGAAAGACATAAATTTTCAGCTTCAAATTAACAGTCTACCAAAAAAACCAAGACGCCTATTCCTCCTTCAATTGATTTTAATGTACTAAACATATTGGAATATATTTATTATTATATGAGTTGTTCACAAATATTTATTATTCTATGACAAGCAATATATGTATTATAATTTTATTTAATTTTTCAAATTAGTATATCATGCTTTAAGTTATATATATTGAAATTTATTACATACCATGTCCCATGTTCCACATTTGTCAAAAAATTTATGGGTTCTATATACATCTTGTATCATAAATGTGTTTGTACTAGTGCATCTTAATTCTAAACAATGACCACAAGGAAAAAAATATCCATTTTTTATAACAAATGGTGCCTATCAAGAAAATCATCTTATATAGAAAAAATGGGGATTTACATACATACCACTTATATATCATGCTATTTACATATCTAACACAAAAAACTTTCATATTTCATGCCTACCTCCATAGATCAAATATGGGTGGAAGGAATGAAATATTAAAATTTAAAAGGTGAAATGGGTGGAAGGAATGAAATAAATTAGTGATATTTTTTATATTAAAATTGTCTATGGATAGTTGGCATAAAATATTAAAGTATAGGGTGTTTGATATGTAAATAACATAATACAAAATGGTATGTATGTAATTCCTCTAAAAAAAAAACCATTTGTTATATCCTGCGAGCCGTCATAGTCCAACTACAGTCTTTGATGACATCACAGACCATGATAATAGACAAAGACTCATTGAATGAGATGAGGACACAATAGTGTTCCAATTATAGTGTGGAGAATTAACCGTTGATATCACGACGCTTCCATCAAAGGCATTGTATGATTGTATCCGGCATTTCATATAGTTGCTAGATTAAACCTACGAATAAATAATCCCAAAATGCTTGGTGATTCCATTGATCGAAGGCATCCCAAGAACAAAAACCAAAGCCAACGTGACATGATAGCTAGATTGGACCAGCTTATCCAACAACTTCTCCTAATACCAAGAGTGAACTGATGTGATTTTTTTTTTGTTCTAATGCTTTCGTAGTTAGAATCATTTGTGCATTCCAGAGAGTCTATAATAAGAATATAGATTTCCAATGATCCTCAATGAGAATAAGCTTTTCATCTTGTAAAAGGCTTATTCCAATTCAAACACCCTGAAAAGAGGCTCTGGCTTTTTTTTTTTTTAGGGGGGTGGGAATTTTGGGGCCAAATCCCGTGTATTAAAAACTAAAAGCCAGATACATGTAAAAGTGTAAAACAAAACCTATAGGAGAGAAACAACAAGAAAAAAAGAACAAAAATAACCAACCCACAGTCCCCAAAAAACAAAAGGCTTTGGTTTTTTTTTCCTATTCTGGCAAATTTTTGGTTCCTTGCATTTACGACACAAATTTCAAGGGTTTTGTCGTTCTCTCTATAAGTTTAACAACATATATCGAAGGATTCAGATCCTCTCCAACTACTAAACGAATTGCACTTTGGGCAGTTTGACATCTTGGCCATACGATACGTTCTGGATGGCAAGTACTAATGGTTTACATGAAACAACTGATTTTCATACACAGTATACTGACAATCCAAATGGACTGGATGACCGGGAAGGATAGGTAATTGCATTAAGTGCATTGATCGGATGGCTGAAGAGTACGAAAATCCATCTATAACAAAGCAAGGAATAAAGTAGCAACTAACCCAATTGAAGAATCATCATGGACTACCTCAAATGTAAGTTAAGTGATTTAGAATGGCATGCTTAAGCTAAATAATGCTCTAACAAACATATAATTCACATTATGGACTGGACCCTAAGAAAGCCTGACATGAATTAAAGGACACAAAACAGAAGATCCAGGAAATCTCACCTGAATAATCCCCTTAATCCGCCACACTCCTCGAGTATGAACTACTATATCAGACTCATCCGGGTGTAGCTTTTTCAGTTCCTTTCTAATCTCCACATCCGCCACGTTGTGATCACTTGTCAACCGCTCCGCCACCACCTCCTTTCCATCGGGTGTCGAGCAGCGGCCCAGCACCGCCCTAGAGTCCCCCAAATTCGCCACATAAAGCGTATCCTCCGTTATCGCCCCAACAAGGCAACACGATCCAACCGAAGCAATCTGCGGCTTAAACGGAAACGAACGCTTCACCAAATGCAAGAATTCCTCCTCGGTGGCAACAATCGCCTTCCTCATCACGTCAGCCGAAACCCCCTTCTGCTCCATGGCAAACTCTACACAATCGCAATCCGCGGCATTAAACACATATCTCATTAGAAATCGAGAAGATAGGTGCGAGGACACTGATACTCACCGCAGAAGTGAGGGAAAAGCTGCGTGTTAACGAATCGAGCAGCGTCGGGTCCACCGTGTCCGTCGTAGACCCCGATGAAGGTGGCGAAGGGGGTTGAGACAACCTGGCCCTGGTCCTCTAAAGTGGAATTAGCCTGAACAACGGCAATGGAGAACTCGCCGGAGGTGTGGGGCTTGAGGTCATGATACCAGAAAAGCTCGTCGCCGTAACCAAGACGTCCGAAGCACCGTTCAAGACAAGATCGAAGCATAGTCATCTAGTCTCAGTTCCTTTCTTCGCACCGCCAATCTCTTCTTGTTCTTCGTGTTCTTTGGGATTAGGGCTTTGGGAGCTGAAGAGAGGGTTTGGGTTGGGGAGAATTGAAAAGAGAAGGGATCTCTCTTAAATAAACAGCATCGACGACACGGCGAGAGCCATCAAGTCATGGATTATGCGGTCTTCTCTGCCGTGACCGTGAGTCGAGGTTTTCATGGGTGGATTCCCTTTAACTCCGCGGACGCTAAAAGACGGAAAATTTACTAGAATTTTTATATTTAATATTTAAAATTTTTATTTATATTTTGGACATTTAGATTAATTAGAATAAATTCAAATACAAATTATATATATATATATATATATATATATATATATAGACTCTTAATAGAAAGTGTGCATTTTTTAAATATAAATTTTTACTTGTAAAGCATCACTTTTTAAATTTTAATTGAAAAATAATTGAATTGGTTACGATTGGGTTTATAATTTAGTCTAGATCTAACTTTTTTTTAAACAAAAATAACATTTCATTTCATGAAAAAAGGGGCTAATACAAGATCTAAAAAACAATTGCAAAAACAGTAGTAAAACAACAACCACGAGGGCTCAGTAGAAGGCCGAGACTACCAGCTATCCAGAAAACAAGCTCGGACCGTCCAATTGGCGAAACACAAACCAAGGTTGCCACGAACCTAGCTAATGGAGTAGCGAGCCCCAGCCACATCATAGCCCATCAATAAAAAACGAGAACGAAAATTTGAACATAGATCATCAACGACCATATGATGACCAAAAGTCCAGCCAACCAAAATGTTATCCAACAAGAGACCATCACCGACCACACCAGCCTCTACCACGATGCTTACCACGAGAAGCAACGGAAACAAGGGGTTTTTCTCGCAATAAGGCAAATGAATTGCACGGATCCTCATCATCAGAAGATTCTAAAGACTCAGAATCAGAATAAGTCGATTCTTGTAACCAATCCAACTGCACATGAACGTCCATTCCCGAATTATCACCCATACAATACATTAAACTTGGAGGATCAATTAGCTTAACAGGAACATCAACAAAATTATTGTTAACTAAACAATCAACCAAAACTGGATGCGCACAGGAATTAGCAGGTAACACACTAACTCCCGCATCCAAATTATCAGACGGAAGAGGCAGAACAGCAGCTTCAACAGGGCAATCTAAAGCAACAGGCTTAACAAAATTTTTACCCAAAGCAGCCGGGGCAGACATCACTGACACCAAACGTTCAGCACCACCAATAATATCAGCACTCATACATGTCCTAGGTGAAACCGCAAAAGGATCAAAATTACACTAATTGGTTTGAAGAGGAAGAAAGGGAAAAGCATCTGGGTTCAAAACAGCAACCGAATCACCAGCCATCACATTATTTTCTACCTCAAACTCCACATTAGCAATAGCTAAATTTTCCAAATCACCCAAAACAAGAAGAATGGGTTCGACAAAAACATCCTCAGAGACAACATCAAGAGCAATAGGATTAGGATCCTTAGCCACCGACACAAGAGCCACTAACTCACAACCCTTCATACTTAACGATTCATTCACTGCTTGGGAAACAAGAACAGAAGTAGTAGGGGGAGAGACAACAAGAGAGGAAGAAGAACACGCACCCTTAAGGTGACCAAGGCGCTTACAAGACACACAGAAATCAGGAAACGCTTCAAATTGCACCTGTTGTATGTACCCCGAATTCTCAGGCCCAAGCCAGATATGAGAAGGAAAGTTTTTAGTGATATCTAACTCTACCAGAACACGAGCAACAGACGGTCGAGACCTTACAGAAGTGGCGGAATCCACTTTTAACGGCCTCCCGAACAAAGAACCCACAGCGTGAAGGATCCAAGGAGAGAACAAATGTGGTCTAAGCTTAGGGAGAGAAATCCAAATCGGGATAACAGGGGAATCAAAACCCACATCCAGTAAATGAGACCACTTTGAAAGCTTCATGAAACAGTTAAAAACTAAATAAGAACGGTGACAAAAAACTCTACTATAATCCAGCTCATTAGACAGTTTAATCAGGACATGCATCTGATCTAGAACAGTTACAGAAAACTCTGAGTTAAGTTTAAGAGAAAAGAAAAATTTACGAATCGAGTCGAGAGATGGCCGCTTAGTCGGAAAAGAATCAACTAAAGCAAATTGAAAAGGCTTGGCAAGAGCATCTATTTCATCTTCCGAAATCTACAGAGCGGGTAACCCGCAGACGATGGTTTGCCGGAGATCAGGGAAACTAGCATTAGACGATACACCAGAGAGAGCTTCCACAAATGACCGCGATTTGAACGCATCAACCAAAAACCCAGGGTCAGCCACTAGGCCAAACACCCGGAGTAAAATCACAAGGTACATCCAAAACCGAAAACAAAAAGGAAGAACAAAACTAGCAAAGAAGAGGGAGACTTCCCGACAACTAGAGAGCCACCTAGTCGCACAGAGGAAGAGCTAGGGCAAAGCCCTAGCAGAGCGAAAGAGCGAGCAAACGATTTGTCTAGATCTAACTTATTTATTAAACGAGTTAGAATTATACACCTGATTCCAACCAATTTATTAAATGTGTCAATCTGAATCCTAAATTTTTTAGCACAAATTCATATCAACTTGCCATGTCAAATCATTTATTTAACCCTTATCTTGATATTTTATTTTTATAATACCATGATATTGAAATCTCATAAAAAATATTATTAACTATAATTTTTTAAATTGAATATATATATGTATAAATTTAATATCTATGCAAACACTTCTGATAAATACCAAATAATTAAACATTTTGGTCATAAGAAAATAGAAGTTATTTCTTCTATCATAAGTTTAAAATTGATTAAAAAAGGGGTTTAAACTCAGTTCCTCTTTGAATCTCTTCGGAATATTCAAAGTGAAAAATAGCCCATTGAAGAAAGGAGTTTTTTGATACTTTGTGGCATTATTCTCAACATAGCTATTGCGCTTTTTTTAAAAAATAAATTCACCCCACAAATATTACTTAAATTACGATAAAATAATTATATTCTAGCCTATGAAATAAATATAGTATATTTGAATTTTTTTTAGAATTTTTTATGAGATACAAAGTTAATATATGAAATTATTAGTTTTTGTTTGAAGTAAAATAAATTAACTGTGAAGTTTGCCAACGATAGTTAAAGATGGCCAATGTTGGTAGTTGCTAGGGATGTCTTATTTGACACGACCTAAAAAAATCCGACTCGAATCTGACACGAAAATTTTGGGTTATGATTAACCCGTTTAAGTAAGTGATCGTGTTTGAGTTCAACAAACAGTCCCGTTTAAAAAATCGGGCTGAATTCAGGTTGACCCAGAAACCCATGAATGACTTGGATTGACCCGTGGTCATGTCTGCCCGCCAACGTCTCTTCTGCCCACCCATCGCCGGCGCTGCCTCGCCTTGTAATCCCGCGTCCAACGCGGTAACGCCTCCTTCGCCGACTTGCCGTCGCCGACCCTAAAAATTTTAAATTAAAAAAAAAAAATATTGTACTAAAAAGATGTTTTAGAAAGCAAGAGGAAAGACGCCCCCAAACAAACCCTAAGTAGTTGACTTTAACACTCTGACAATAACTTCTCATCGGGGGAACTCATTTGTACATGAAACTTATGTAATCACTCAAAATAAGATCATAATTCCAATACATCAGTAATGTAAAGCACACACTCTCCGACAAGTGTCAGCAAAGATTAGCCGCCTCCTTCAGCCAACCAGTCGACCACTATCTTTTGCCACACAGCTAATGCCACTGTCGTCCATAACTGATCATCGTTGCCATCTCCCATCACCACAATCAGTGCCAACCCTCTCTATTGCCGTCGTCGTCACGTTTTAAAGTAAATTAATTTTACTTCAAATCAAATCAAAAAATAAAAAAAATAAAAATAAATTGATATTATAGTCAACCATGATTCATTTGCAGTCTCAAAATGCCACTTAAAAAGATTTTGGTGAACTTGAGAATCTATATGAATGACAAAGCCCAATATGACAAATAGCTTACCGTGTAAATTAAATTATTTGGATTAATAATAATATGTAGACTATGGCAAAAAACTACATGAATAATAACTAATTTAAATAATAATAATTTAATTATATGTTAATATTTTAATGGAATTAAATAAAAAAGAAGATATTTGATATATTGGACAAACTTACACTTCTCAATTCTTATCAAAATTGCTTTTGGTTTTTTTCGATGTCCTTTGCTTAAGTTTTATTGAAAAAAAAATCACTTAATATACCTATTTTCATTTATGATTTTACCTTGAAAATTTAATATATTTTTAATTTGGATTGAGCTCAAATAGACACAAATGAGTCAAATCTTTCGCTCGCTTTGATTTTTTATTCAATTTTGAGACCGTCATAAAATCATATATATAATTTTGAGTTAACTTGATTCAAATTTGAGCCGGCTTGAACTGGTTTTGGTTCAAATCGGGTTATTTTGAAATGGGATCAGTTCGACCTACAGACTGCATAGGCATGAAATCAGATCATTCTTATCACATTAATGATATGATTGTAAGAACATAACAAAAGACTATCTTATTAGAGTTGTAAATAAATCATTAAGTCTGACAAATTATTCGTTGTTCGATTCGATTAACAATATCGAACGAATAAATTTGAAAAATATTGAGTATTCAATTTCAACTAAATTTGCCTGAAATAAAATCATGATATGCAAGGTCATTAAATTTGTTAAATTCTTTTATTTATTGTTTGAAAGTCATAATAAAACAGCATAAGTTTAAATTTCATTAATTTTAAATTTAAGATAAAATACTTTATTTAAAAATACATAAAACTAAAGAGTGGATAAAAATTTGATGATAAAATGTTTTTTAATGAAATAATTCAAATTAATTTGAATTTAAAATACTTAAAAGTTCATAATTTATACTTTTTTAATAATTTTCTTATAATCTAATAACCAAATGAACCCAATAGGTCAATCCTTTGATTTTCAAATAAAATAAAATTTTTAGTCAAGAAAAGTTCCAAATAATCCAATTTCTCTCTCTCTCTCTCTGCCGATTTTTTTTTTTTTTTCAGATTTTTCAAATGCCTTGATGCATTGAATCTTATTTTCTTCAATTGAGAATAATAGTGAACTTTTGTAATCTTAGGCTTCATTTGAAATAGCCTGTTTTATGAAATAATTT